TATTTCAGGACAATTGTTTTTACCAATTAATACTTATTTATTTTCATTTTGCCATTTTTTTAAATTTTTTTTTAAGATTTATTTATTCATAGAGAACTAGGGTACAGACCAGTTATGCGGAGGGTGAGAGGATTCACCAGGGACAGAGTGGGGAGCAGAACAGGCAGATCGACGAAGTACACTGCTGAGGGGAGCAGCGGGCGGGTCAGGAGAGGTCTGCCTCGCCATGTGGTCACCTCCGGGGCAGGCGGGAATCGAACTCACGCGGAAGTGGCTTAAGCCTCTTAGTTCAGTGCTTTAACCTGCTGCGCCACCAAGGAGGGCCTCATTTTACCATTTTAAAAAAATCTATGGTACTATTTTTCGATAGGTTGTATTTCAAAACTTTACATTTTCCTCACAGCATGCCCCTTTACTTTATTCTAATAAACCCAGAGTTGCAGCGTCTATCAAGTACTGTATCAAGCACTATGACTCAGACATTACAATTGCCAGGGAGACTTATTAAAATACAGGTCCCTGGCCCCATTTCCAGAGTGTCTGACTCAGAAGGTGTTCATCGCAGGTCCAGGAGTCTGCATTTCTAACATATTCCTAGGTAATGTGAGAACTTTGGTTGTTGGGGCCACACTTTGAGATGCACTGATCTAGAGGAAGTATTGTGAGTGAAGGTGGCAGTTACAGACAAAGGGGAGATGGAGAGAAGTGGGTTTATTTAACATATATTTTAAACAGGCATATATTTTAAAAAGTACACTCAAAGGGTCTCCCTGGTGGTGCAGGGGTTAAAGACAGGGGTTAAAGTCAAGCTGCTGCCAGCCATTGCAATGAGTTAAACCCCCAGCTGGCCAGGGAGCTGACCCACATGGCACTGCAGGCCAGTCCTGACCCGCCCACTGTGCACCCAGCAGTGTATTTCAGAAACATCTGCCTGTTCCACTCCCCACGCTGTCTCTGGTGAATCCTCTCAATCCCTGTACCTCTAGCCTACACACCAGTTCTTATACGCATAAATAAATCTTTTTCTTTTTTTTTTAAACAAGGAGTACCCACAAAGGGTCTTGGCCATGGTTTTGAGGTGTGTGATGAAAAGGGTAGGGAAGGAATCAAATCAAGCAAGTGTCTGGGTTGGTAGCCTGACAGAGGGTTGAGCAGATGAGCGTGAGAAATCACAGACTCCACTTAAAGTTCAGGTTCAATATTATAAATATGTCAAGTAACAATGACTGACCGAGTCAACTTTTAATAAGTGTTATTTTTATTACTGTTATTACTACCTTCACTATCAAAACAGAATAATCCTGATCATCCAGATCACCCTGTCATGAGTAAACTCCAAAGTTTACTACTCAGCAGCTACATTCTAGGACTGGGAATTACTCCTGAGTGATCCAAGAGATTTAGGTCTAAGTGTAGGGAGACATCCTGCTTATAGCTATCCGTTCTCTGCGTAAGCAGATGGAAGGAAGTGGCAAGAGAAGGAGAAGTGGGAAGAGATTGAGAATAATCTAATTCATAGAGCTCTATTGTCTGCCTGACCACAGATAAGTTCTCAACAACCACACAAAATAGGTGGAATGATCCCCATTATGGGTGAGGTAAATAACTTGCCCAATCTCTAACAGAAACTTTGGTGGAAATGCAAAGCCATCTCTCTTCTCACCTCATGATATTTGTCATTTCTGCTACCAGCTACCAAACTCTACCTTTACCATCAAGCCATAGGGTGGTCACCTTTCTTATGTTGAAATGGGTGCCCGAATAAACTGCAGGCAACATGTGCAACTTCTAGACGAGTAGTTTTTAAACCTTTGTAATCCTGACTCGTATTAAGAACCACATGCTGCAAAGCCAGTTATTATGGACACGTATATGTGCATGTGTATACACATGTACAAACACATATCACAACAGATGTGTGACAACATGACTAAGATTTATTTTTAAGAATAACACTTATTGAGATTAAGAACATGGTGCATCATCAATATTCACTCATAGTAAATGTACTCTGATAATTTTCTTTTCATTCATTACAATAAGTGGTGATCAGGACCATAGAATTGATTTTGCAATCAATTTCTGGGTCTCTGCTAGACAGCTGGGGAATTCTCTTCTAGGTCCCTGTCTTTCCTTAGAATCCTCTCACCAAAACTTAACAATGCCAGTGATTTGGAGGAAAGTCCCAATAGGGACTGGAAAAGAAAGGATTCGGATTTCTGTACATTTCCTGGATACACATCTTTGACTGTAGAAGAGAGAGTTCTTCCCAATAATCCAGTTGACTGACTGAATCTGCTTCACAGTTGTGTTCTCTTGAACTGATCATTGAAATTCTCTCGAGCCTATTTCTTCATCCATGAAATGGGGGATTTGACCCAGATCACCGCCAGAGTCCTTTCTCACCCTCTGGGGATACAATTCTATCATAAAAAGCTTTTGCAAATGGGACTCTGAAATAGTAAGATGAAGATGATAATGTTGATGATTATTCCTTTCTATTTTGTTAAAAAGCCCCTGAGGAATTTTGGAAATGAAGAGTGACATTAACTAAAGGAGAAAAAGACTCCCATTTAGAAGGAATCAGATTCATTTCGGGTAAATGCTTCCTGAAGTTGATGAGCAGAGAGTTTCGGCTGCATTTATAAAGAAGGTCAACATATTCATTCATGTTCTAGAAGTAGAAAAATGACTACTTAAAATCTCCTACTTAAAGTAACAGCAAAATTGTGGTTATCAACATCTCCCCAAAACATATATATCACTTATCTAATTTCCCTATCCATTTATGAGGGAGCACCAGGAAAGGAAGCTTCGTTATCGGGGGTAGATTGATTTTTATGAGTGCCAAAATGCTGACCGCATTTAATTATATTTACAGGTGTGTAAGTCCTGCTATGGAAGAGCACCTCCCTACCTATCTTTAGATGCCCCTGAAACATAGTATCACCTCCCAAGAGGTGGGTGGTAATTGGTGTGGGCAGTGCTTCATCCGGGCTGGGGATTCTGTGGCACTGAAAACTTAGGTGTTTCATCTCCAGGTCTCTGATGAGTCAACAGGAAAGAATCATCTTCGGGGCTCAGGAGTCAGCACTCTCCAAACCAGCCCCCACCTAGACTACTTGCTTAGTCACTTGGCTAGAACAAGATGCTTCAGGTGGGATAAGTGGCACAGTTCTTTGTGTTTTCTTGAACTGAAGGAAGGCCCACATGGCTATACTGGCATATTCTTAAATATACCAGTAAAGTCAAGTCTCAAGGGTATTTTCTCTTTACCCAACATTTATTGACTGATGTCTTTGTGCATGTGATACATCGCAATAATAAGCCCACCCCTGGTTGAGCTCCCAGCATCTCACAGCCCCCACTAGCTTGACTCCTGCCTGGGTCCAGGAGGGCGCCAAACAGTTCATAGTGACTGTGGCCCAGGGCTCTTTCTCTTTACTTTCAGGGGATAATGTTCTCCTCATTCTGTCTGTTTCCTTTCAAAATTATGGTCATTAAGATTTGCTTATAAAGAAACCATGTGAAATATAAATAAATATATATAAATATATAAATAAATATAAATAAATAAATATAAATAAATAAATAAATATATATATATGTATATATATATGGAACGTACCAGTGATGTCTGTTGGCCTATCTGTGTTGATGGGAACTCTGAGAAATAAGAGGGAAATAGCAGGGAGATTTCTAAGACTTGCTCTTATCTGGGGGGAGGAGGTTTCTTGTTTTCTTCACCTTGTTTCACAAAGTGATCAGTCACCAAATCCAACGTGACAAGTACCTCCCAGGGCAAAGGCTCTAGGTGGCTTTTAAAGAATCTCCAAAGGAGAAAACCTCTCGGGGGCTTATTTCCCTCATAAAATAAATCGGTCATGGATCTTGCCCTTGCAATAACACACACAGGGTCCCTAGTGTGTCCTGCTAACTGGCTACCACCATAATACCCAGCCTTGAACTGGAACTTCCGTCTCTCCTGCATATAGGTGGATCATGAAAACCCAAAGTTCATTTCCCCCTAATTAGCCGACCCCCCCCCCCCCAGAAAGATGCGGCATGGCGGTCACCCGGCATCCAAAATGTCCCCCATCAGAAAAAAAACGATCCCCACGGTGGCTGGTGCCCAGGCGTTCACACTGGCGTTTCCACCCAGGCCGAGCCGGGCAGGGTCGTAATTCCTTAGGTCGTTTGACTTCACCAGGGGCGAGGTGTGGAGGGTACAGACCACTGGCTACTTGTGAACTCTGGGCAGGAGGACCTTAAACATTAACTTTCTCGAGTTTCTGGCCAACACCGCTGCGGTCAATAGCGCGATTGGAAACTTGTGCAGGCGGGAGACGGCGGCGCGGATGCTCTTTCAACAGGCGATTTGTTCTCCCGTCGGTGGCTCATTTCCATGCAAAGAGCCTGACATCAGAGCACCTTTTGTTGCTAAACGCTTTCTTTAGCACCAAGAGGAGAGAGTCATGTGGAGCTGGAAGAGCTCATTCTGAAGAGAGGGGTCCCGGGACTTCGCTGCAAGTTTGTGCGGCGCCGGG